ATTTCGTTAAATTTACTTAGTATATTATATTTACATACTGTTTGCTTTTATAAAGCTGCTTGTAGAGCGTAATGCATTGTAGTCGCTTTGAGCATGCAATTCTGCTCAGCATGGCATTGTGAAAGTGTGTGTCGCCACAGCCATCTAGCACACGCAGACATATTCAGTGGACCGCTGATTATTCATTTAAATTGCACTTTGCTTTATTAAAGAAAACAGTTTTTATAAAATTTCTTTAGGAGAAAATTTTTTCAGATTCAATTTTATACATTTTTGCTAATTGAAGACCTGTTCTATTATACAAGTATAACTCTCAAAAAGGTTTTTTAAGAATATAAAAACTATATTCTGAGATTTCAAATGCTAGGTGCTTTAAAAGACATTTTTGCACTACTTCACACACATATTGGCATTAATTTATTCTCTTTGTTAAATTAAGCAATGATTTTACCAATACAGCATTAAAGTAAAATCACTTAAGCGAAAATTACTAGTAATATACAATTCTAACAATTTGAATAAATATTTTTTCCTGCCTAAATGTGCATTTGGTTTGTCGAAAGAGCAAAAAAGTTATCAATTTGTTGAAATTAAGTTTGCAAGTGCAATGTGCGTCGTAAGACACGTGTTCTCAACATTTGCGCAACAGCAACCATTCAAACAAGCAGCAAAAACATTTATATATGCAAATGTCCTTAGAATGCTATTTGTAAATATTTGTGCTACATGCACGCATATACATAAATATTATTGAAGCTATCGCGAACAATGGCAATATCGTATGCAACATCTGCACATACTGTGGATTTCGTACAAAATTTGGCTAATTTCATATGCAGGAAACGCAGCAACAGCAGCGCGGCTACACACAGCAAGTCGCAACGGCCTACTGCTAGTAAGAAGTTAGTAACAAGTACGCACCAACAACAACAACACACAATCAATGACTCCGCGTGTTTGCCTGTTAGCGCTGATGCTATAAAGGGCGCCTCAAACACCACTACAAACAACCAAAGGCCAACGTCTGACACAGCTGCCGCACAACAACAACAAATGTACATAACCTACAGCCCGTTAGTGTTGTTGTATTTGTGAATGTTGGTGCATGTTCCTGTTGTTGTTGTTTTTGCAATGTGTTTCTGATATATTGCCATTGCGCTTTGCTTATGTGTCACCATTGGCATCACTGGCATCACCGGCAACGCTGTTATTGATGTTGTTAAAACGCCTCCACCACACGGTATGCAGCCGCACGTTGTTTGCGTACGCTCATGTAATTGTATGTATGTATGTGTTGGTACGCTTGTTGTGTTTAACGTGCACACCCGCACGCATAACTCAATCGCGCGCTGGCATGTTCGCTATGAAAAGGCAGCAAAAAGTGTGACAATCAAAGAGTTATAATAAAAAACTTGATCACCAAGCCAACTGCGCCGACAACAAACAAATAAAAACAAACAACAAACAGTGCACCGTGAGGTGAAAACCATTCATCCATTCCATCAGCAAACAGCAAACAGAGCGCTGAGAGGCAAAAGCGAGCATGGCATCAACAAAATAAGCGCTGCGACTACATATTGAACCCTAACACCTTGCATAGCAGGCGCCGCCACCACCACAGCCGGCATACCCATGCATACCTGTAGTAACCCCTGCATGCCAAAGCTTCACACTACGAATATCTTACACCGGCGTACACACACCTGCACATACGATGTTTTCGAAATATATGCGCGAGCATTTCCTGCACGCACACCGCAGTGTTTGTTATTGTATCATAAATGAAATATTGGAAAATATTTATAATTTTTTGCGCGATATTTGACACCCCATTGTGTATTGTTCCACTGTACAACAGTTACAAATTTCTACTTGTACATTTGAAAATTATAAAATGAATCCATACATAAACTTGTGCAAAAACGTTGAACTTCCTGATGTAGTAGAATAGTGGGTGTAAAAGTGAAATCATTATTGGTTCACATTTCAAAAGCGCGCAAAAAACTGTTCAAGCACATTGAATTACCTTTGTGGCTTAATTCGTTTAATGCGTATTCAATTTATCTGGTCTGAAATGAATATTATTGCTCAACTTATTTGAAATATTATTATTATTATCACTTAAAACTTTTTTCCTCAGCATTCAATAGAATTTGCGCTCTGTACTAGCTGTGGAAAATAAAACATCTCAAAAAGTATATACTAAATATTGTAAGCACTAACAGTTAAATCAAATCTTCTCTTGAAAATGCCACGAATCACCCTGTATTCCTTGTGTGTAGCGCTAGCAAACTGTTAGTGAATATTCAATGGTTTTAATAAAATCTGTCCAGCTAGTTGCACTCCGCTTCCCATATTCGGTTATTAAAATTTACGTGCAGTTATCCATATGGATGTTCAAATGCTTATACAAAAACAAAAAATTATATAAATATTCGCCATTTCATAAGTGTTTGTTATACACTCCATTATTATTTGTTTGTTTGGTAAGTTTGGCATTTTTTATATGCTAACTCTATTATTATTATGTTCTTTTTTATACACTCATCGCAACGTTTGCAGCTACAATGCTGATTTATGTGCGTTTCATGCGCCTAAAAGCGTGCTATGAAAACATTTTTACACTTGATTTCCTGCATATTAGGGTTAACGGCACCGTATCGATGTTATTGAATTTTCAAATTCAATTTGTGACGCTTGTTGTTGTAATAGCAACGCCACTTTGAATTGTTGTTTTTTTTTTTTATTTATTTTTTTTTATACACGTTGCGCACTACAAATATGTATGTAGTACAAATAAGCGAGGCAATGGAATATATGGTATATAGCCGTTTGTATGTGTGTGTGCGGCTGTGCATTTTGGCACGTGTATTAAGTTGAGCGCGGCGGATTTGCGAAAAATTCTCTTAAGCAACGCGTAGCATAACTGTAGGCGCGTTAAATTGAATTTTACAAGTATTTGAATTCGATAACTTTGTATGCTGGTGTGTGTGGCGGTGGGTGGCTGTTGCCGTGTAGCATGATTGCTCTGAGACGTTGCGAATATGCTCAACAAGCCTAGAGATGTTTGCTCATCTGCAAAACATCAACTCGAAGTTCTACTCGCGTTGCCAAGTCCTCCGCTATCTGCTCATATTTCACAAACATGCCGCTGAGTGCTAAATATCCGCCTAAAGTGAAGCATTTAGCAAAGCACTGACTGAGTAAAGTAGGCTTATATTATAATATATAATAATAATATAATATCGTTGTTCTGAAAATACTTGTAATGTATTTGTGCGTAACAACTTACTACCCAGCGACGTCAACTCTGCTACTTCTAATAATAAGCGTATGTGTTTGATATGCCAATAGCGGAGATACTGAAGTTTTAGTTTTCAATTCAGCTTGTGCTGATGTACTAGCGCCGCATATCTATAATCTTGTAAACCTGGTTGTATCCCATGCAATAATCTAAAGAATGCAACAAGTTTTTCACGTAAAATAAGTTGGAATTAGCAAATTACTTTGCTGTGCTGAAAATGCTGAGCAGTGAAGTGAGAATGCTTGACGGTCATCCGTAATTAATTCCCTGCATGCAGATATTTATCGGTTTATAGAAATGTTTGCATTCTGCATGAATAATGCATATCTCGAAAATCTTCGCTAATAAGGGAAATTAGTTAGCTTTCGTAATGTCGTTACTCTGATTGCAATGAATACTCATGCTCTCGTCCATAGTCGACTACAAAGTTTAGCCGTAGCTAATGCATCAATTTGCGAATTTATAAGCAAAAAAAGATATTTTATGAAGTTATAATAAAAAAGTGTTTATATGCTATAGTGCTCCGATCTGCACAGTTTCTTTGTGATTGTATGACATTTACTTGGAAAATAATATATAATATATGACAAATTGCTTAAATATTATATAACATAAAGTTTTCCAAATAAGCACTTGATTTTGATCTGTCAGTTTGCATGGCAGCTATAAGCAATATAACAATAGTGATAACGGCGGTTCAAAAAAAAGTGCGTGTGCATAATTGCAGTTCGATATCTCAAAATTTGAGCGACTAGTTCGACATGCCTTAACCGACTCATCTCGTCATGAAACCGTAGAAGCAAATTTTACCTTCCATCGCAGCCGCTGTAGAATAATGTCGAATTCTACTATTTCATTTTTACCACTAATAGTTTGTCGAGTTGTTTTTTTTTTTTGTTAAACACTAATATAAGTGCGCAGAATATGTTTTTTATTTCCAGCTGCGCTATAAATACACCGTAAATAAAATGCATGAAGAATGAAAAAAATAAGTTGTGAAAGTTTAGCATAACATAGAGAAGCATCAGTTTAACGAAGCAGCAGTTTTAGCTTTCAACGAAACCCTCATTTATTAAAAATACCAAAGTTGTATATAAGTAATTGAAAATCAACATATAAGAGAAGCGAGCATTTCCATGAACTGCATTTGGCAGGTTTCATTTATTTCAAAGCTGGCATTCATGACCTCCATACTTAAAAATGTGCATTGGGTGGCCATTGTTCTCCGATTGTCCCTGATCACCATTCTCACATTCGTGAATTAGTATTTTTAGTGCTTGATATTTGATGTGAAATTGTGGCAGTGGTGGCAAAAGTGGTTTTCTGTAAGTGTCTGCCAAGTGATTTGTGCCATACGTAAGCATCTCGCAACACTAAAGCCGCTTTTCAAAATTGACTTAGCTGCACTTTGTAATCTAATTTCAGCGGCTATTTGTGACTTTACAGACTTGTGTGCTATATTATTATGCTGTTAAGAAAGTGCAAGAAGTCAACGGTTGCATATATGTTGAATCTGAGGAATTTGTTGTAATAAGCATTTGCTGCAGCAACATATCGGTGTTCTGAGAATACAATTTGGTGCTAATTTTCTCACCAAAACGCTCATCTGACCACACAAAGCGCACGCGCCATGAAATGTGCTCCGATGTGAACACGAACTCTCACCGACTGCCTGAATGCTTCACTGTTAAGTTATGCCTGCGTCGTGCTACACTCGGCCTTATCGTTGACTGCACTTAAATCCCTCTTTTGAAGCTGCAATATATTCAGTAGTCTGGTGTAAGTGCTCGCAATAGGACATTCAAGTGTTCACAGCGCGGAAAGTTCATGTTTATACCCGCATTGCGTACACACAAGGGAGAGTGCCATTTAAATGAAGCCAACACTAATGTTGTGTATTTTTTTTTGTTTCTGATGCTACGATGTGAGTTCAGTGGCTAGCCGTGACTGTGTCTGCGAACGCATTGGTGTTGTGTGTGTGTGGCGACTAAATTGAATTGGTTGAGATTTCAGCTGTTGTTCTGTAACAAATTATGCTAAATATAAAGCAATGAAATTATATGTTGCGGAAATTAATAAAGTGTCAACTACTGTTAGTAGCTGTACACTATTCAAGTAAGTCAACGGCATTAACCCATTTCCGTTGAGCGGAAGTCATAAATTTAGCGTGAAATGTGTCGCGCAACTACTAAAGTTATGCTGAAAGAACAACAAACAAATATGCTGCCGCAAGTATTGCAATTGCTGTGTGTAAGTTCATACCAGAGCCGCGATAATTAAAAGTGCATACACGCAAAGAGTGTACATGGATAAATGCAAGCACAAGCGCCAATGCATTTACAGTGTGTGCAAGTAAGTGCATGTTTACGCTTGAGTTACCAACTAGTGTATACTAAATGAATGCCTAACAACAAATATCGCCCTCAAAAAGATCATACAAAAAAAAAACGTTAAATAAAACGCCATTTAAGCGAGCAGCCGCATTTTGACACAGCCGATTGAAGTCACAGAAGTGCACGGCGTTTCCACTAAACGTGCCAAAGCTGTACGCGCCACGTGCGCAAATCAAGTGTGGTCACATGTATAAATGTTCACTTAAATTTTAATTGTTGTGGGTGAAAGTGTGCAGTGAAAGCTTGAATTCGACTTAATTGTTGCTTAAACGTACACAGACAATCGATTAGATCATAATCAAACAGCTACCAAACTACATACATACATACATCCGTACATAGCTGAGCAAGTGCGTGTAAACAGCCAGTGGCAGTGAAAATTTGTTATCGCTACATCGAATCGGAAAGTGTGTGCATGTAAAGACGGAAGTGCGCGTGTGTGTGTGCATGTGCTGAAGGTCATTGCAGTAAGCTACAACTCGTGGCAGCGGCAGTGAAGTCACGCAGCAACAGCTGCGCAAGAACGCGTAGGCGTAAAGCCCGAACCTCAACTATTATCTGTCAATCGCTGTTGCGCTTGAGTTGTGTGGCGTCCTTCAAGCGCCGTCATTGTCGCAAACTACAAGCAATTTCTGACAGCAGTTGAAGTCATAATAACCACAGCAGCAACAACAGTACAAGTGGGGGCGTTAAAGTGCTGTTTAGCGTCAGTTGAATTTTGTCATTTTCGTAAATCTTCTTTGCCCATCGAAGTCGCGCCCGGTAGCTTTCGGCTGTCGCCTTCGTTGTCCTTGCTGTCGTCGCGGGTGTCGTCATTTTGTTAATTGCGACATCATCCTTTCGCAGACATAGCAATAGCGGCAGCCAAGCAGCTCAAGTAAACAAACAAAGCATAGCAATAGCTGAATTTTGCATGAAATGTTGCTGGAATACGTAATGATGCTGCTTGTGTTCGGATTAACCACAACCGTTGAGCGGAGCCACAGCAACGCATTCGGTAAGCGTAGATATAAGTATGTTTAGGTATGTCTATGTGTTTCTATATATATTTCTGTGTGTGTGCATAGGAGGGAACTTGTGCGATGCTGAGTGGTGATAGGGTGACTAGCAGCCTTGTGGCACCAACTTGTTTACGCGGATGTCGTCATATACACATATACAACATTAGTAAATTATGATACACTCAATGTTAAAGTCAGATACTTGTATGTGTATTACACGCAACAACACATGCGCGGAATGGAATTTCACTGACTTTCACAAATTAATTATTGCTACCAAATGACATGCAAAACAAAAAGACGAGTTTTTCCTGGTCGCTGGTGGCTCATCCGTGCCGTATAAAACTCATTATTACTATTGCTTCAAGTATTTGACATTTAGAGAAAACATTTTCAAGTTGAAGTAAAGTAAATAATAAGCTCATGAATTGCTTGCTTCAATTTGCATTTTGCTCTCCGTTTGATTGTACATCATTGCAATAGATTTACACCACAAATTGCATACGCTTGAATGAAAACAAAATAATAATCAAAATATTAATATAAAATGCTTCATCGGACATAAGTCAAGCGAAATTTCTGCATAATTAAAGGGTAATCGCTTGACTTTATTGTTGATACGACTAATTTGTGTGCTTGGAATCTATGTATGTAGCTGTTGGTTGAATATGCAACCATATCTGCCAGTAAAACAAACCAAAATTCAATGTGTTCCATTCAACACCGACATTTTATATGACAGTTGTTATTATTTATAACAGTTTATTAACGTACAACAAATGTTAACTTTGGCTGTACCGAACCTTTAATACTACCTCTAGAGAGGCTCAAGTTTTCATACAAGAACATGATTTTGATCTTTCAGTTTTTGTGACAGCTATATGCTATTGTAGACCAATATCGGTGATTAAGACAAGTGAGCAGCTTATTAAGGAGAAAAGGACGTGTGCAAAATTTCAGAACGATATCTCTAAAACTATGGGAGTAGTTCGCACATACATAGTAGGGTGTCCGTTATTTTCCATATTGATTGTTTTTTTGCAAACGCCTACTGAAGTTATAGTTTTAGCCCTAAAAATAAAGGTAAACAAACTTTTTATTTTTAATTTAGACGGTGCCTCAATTAATTTTCTTTTCTCATGTATATAACATGCGGTTTCCTGATATTTTGCATTAAAAAATAAAATTTACAGCTTTGGAAAAGTGATATTATAATACCAAATTTATTGTTCTATAAAAAAGGTCTTAATAATTTTTTTCATAAAATCTTTCGTTTAAAAGTTATACTCAATTAAAGTTATACATCGAATGACTTGTGCATTCATGCAAGTGCCTTATACAATAAATTCTATGTTACTCATACGACATGGTGTACTATATGAATACAGTACACGTTTTAGTACAGTGTTGAAGTGATGTTTTTGAATAATGTCACAGTACGTTTTTGTAGAGCGTTCAATTTCTTATTAAAATAATTCGATGTCGCAGCAATGTATTAACTGGCTTCGCAAAGAAAAAATTAATTGCAAAAAGTACGAAAACTCTATGTTATTTGAATGGGAAATGAATCGTCTTTGTGGCACGCGCCATTATCAATATTAAGAGCTCAAATGGTTTTCATGATTTTATTGATTAAGGCATTTACTAAAAATTTTGGGGGCGCTGCAAAGTCAAAAATCTATTTGGGAAATAACGGACACCCTAATACACAGACTGGCGAACAGAGAGACGGGCATGGCCTTATCGACTAAGCTCGGCACTCTGATTATTTATATAGTATATTTTATACCACCTTGGACGTTTGTAACACTCCAACAAATTTCGTGGCAATCTCAACATACCCTGTTCAGTGTATAAAGATAAAAAAAAGTCTGAATCGCAACCTTTTAGATAATTAACTATCTAAAAGTGATCAACCGATACATAAAATAAATCTCTTCTCTCTTTATGCTTATATACTTACAAAAGTATGTTATTTTAAATTGTTTCCGAAACTCAAATATTGATCTTCCCTGCAATCTCTTCAAGTTTGACCTGGACTGAGCCATTCGATAAAAAAGTGTTTAGATGTGTACAATTTGTTTTATGTTCATGTGCATTTTGAACTTCTCCTCAATTATTGTGTGTACTAATGAAAAAAATTTAAAAATGCGTTGGCTACTAATTTTGTGTTTCCAATAATAAACATGTTTAATAAAATTCATTTATTTTGGGACAAATTAGCTAAAAAATGTTAGAAAAATTTTATTGCTCTAGCTCAAATATTATGAACAATAGTTCAGAGCTACCATGCTTGGTCTGTTGCTAACTTTTTGAGACGCAGCGTAGATACTGTTCTACGGCACAGAACGTAGAATAAAATGTTTTTTTTTTCACCTTTACACATAATTCTTAAGGCCAATCCACATACAACTATCCTCGCTTTACGTGACAGCTCGTACTGAAACAACAAAGTGCAGAAAACAAAGGGTATGTGGCAAAGAACGCTTTGCTTTCACTGTTTCTCTTTAATCAAAATTGTAGATGGTTGCTTGGCAAAGCGTAAAAAGATGAGAGTTGCCCAACATTTTGCTTGGCTTCGTGTCGAAAACTTTTTATGTGAACGTATTCATAAAAAAGCGTACATCGTACGTCAAAAGAAATTATTGCGTAAATTGAAACAAAATTCTATGTGAATTGGCCATTAGAAAGCATTATATATAAATTTATAATTTTAAGTGTAGTCGTATGTAAATACATCAAACTGAATCGCAGTGACTCATTCAGGTTTTGTAAGCGTTTGAAGCGCATAACTTCGACACATTTCCCCACATCTTTCAAAACTCATTACAGAGTTTACAAGCAGCAAAAATATATATCAAAATTGCTTTACAAAAACATGTGCATGGGAAGTTACATGCATGCAAAACAACATTATCCATAAACTCACAAAAATTATCAATTCAGAGCATTTCTGAGAAATTCATTTAACGCAGTACAAACTCAATGCAAATACGCCAGTCTTTCTCATTTAATATTTCCTATTACTCAGTTTAGCTTTCCTATTCAGTGCCTATTACTTGCCACATGCCTATGGTTACGTGCAGACGGCCCAAAGACGCGCGTCATTTATGTGTCGCTTCTGTTATAACAAAAATTTCAAATTTCCCTCGTTCGAATAAAATCTTCATGGCGAAGTCATTAAAAAAGGGTGTACCGTAATAGACACGAAAAAAATTGTATACAGGTGTTCTCTGTATGTAAGAACTAAAAACACGTTACTAATAGTTACCAGCTATTATTATCCTTTATCTGGATTGACAATAACCTGCTAAATGTATGCACCAGCCTAATGGTTCAATCCAGCAATTTCTATTTAAAATATAGCCTGGCTTTTCTTCGCAGATCAAACACTTAGACTATCTTTACATCTTCGCAATAGCTACAATAGTCTAGATATTCTGAAAGTATTGTTGTATGATTGCCATGTGAAACACCCTGTTTCGAAGAGATGTATGTATCTATTATACATGTGTAGTTATATCCATATGCAGCCATTTGCATATGCTAAATGGAATATTTTGCGGTTACCAAAACGTGTCACAGTTGCGACCCTATTAAATCATAGCAAAGTGAAAAATTTGCGGTTAACGGTACATGCTAAAGACGACTCTGTATAATATAATTGTTTTCTCTCGCAATATGTTACACAGCCTTTAATAATGACATGCCCACAAAACGCAGTTAATCGAATAAATAGATGCATAGTGCTATAACTTAATTACTAATTGCCTATACTTCACCATGCTCTACTAAAACCAATGTATAGTAGTAAATTACATTTCTTTGGAAGACCCACTCTATACTACAAATAACTCGATGTGAGTGCAAGATATCGCAATAAAACTAAACTAGCATATTTCACTTAGTTAGGCGGTTCGTTAGTAAAAATTGTGACATTGACAGGTATCTTCCTACAGCACTTAAACTATATTATGAATATGAAGATGACGATTACGCCAGTTAATTATAGAACAAATAATATGTTTATAAATGTGCAGCAAGTTATAGGCGTAATCATAGTAAGTAACGAATCACTTAGCAAGATTTTAATGTAACAGTTTTGCAGACAGCGTATTATATTGCTCATGCCTTTAATTATTTCCAAATTTTACACTAGCTTTTCGTGCAGCGTTAGCAACTACATTCTATTAATTCAAAATTAATAACAATTTCCCACTTGCAGTAACAACTTGTAGCAGCAATGTTGCAATTACTTTTCTCTTTTCAATTTATTTTCCATCAGCAACATGTTATAACAACCTATTCCCACCCAATTGCGAGTAAAACTTTGAAATGGCTACATAAATATTGAATGTGAAACAAGTTTCTTAGAAACATTAAGCACTGGCTTTGTCCATATATACTACTTAGTACAATTGAACTCTCACCGCGTTCAGTTACTTGCAAAAATTCCCCTTCGAAACTTTTAACCAGTGTAAGTGGGCTTTTATACTAATATTCTTAAACATTCTTAGAAAACTTTGTGCACCAAAAGTGCCGTCGTTGCAGTGTTGGAATTTGGCTTAGCGCAAAAGTTTAAATAAGTAAAATTTATTGTTTCTTTGAGAACTGACGTACCAGACCCACTGAGGTTTTGCAAATATTCTTGTACGTGTATATATGTATAAAGTTTTAAATAAAATATTAAATGTTAAGGTTGAATAAATAAATTGAATTAATAAACCCAAAAATCTTAGACCTCCTCAAGCAACAAATTAAACTTTGGAAAGTATACATAGCGCGAGAATTCCAAATCTTTACTTGCAGTTCATATAATACATATGGCAAATGATATTTCCGTCGAATTCGGCCGAATCATTCATGTCGCATTAATCAATTCGCAACTGTGTTTTAGTTCATAAAGGCATAATAATCTGATCAATAATCCTCAATACACATAAACTGCTGACACTCGTAAATCATTTATGTATGACACATGTAGTCATATATGTGATCAGTAAAGTCAACAAAATGAAAGAACGAGCAAAGGAGCGCCACATCGTTGCGATGAACAAGCGTTTACTACTACACTTAAATACGCGCACAGTGGTGTACACATTTTAACCGAAAAGTTTGCGTGCTTTCACATTTGAAGATGTGATACTTTTTGCTAATATTTGAGTATTTAATATTATTTTATGTTCTCAACCGAAGGTATTTAGATCTTTGGAAAATTTAAAATTTTTTCTTGCCGACTCACATGTAATAAAATATATATTTCTTGCTATTATTATACTATAACTAACTGACCATTCATTGATATACAGTGTAGAAAAATGGGTAATCTGTTGGAATACTTGAAATGTGAAAATTTTTAATGGCTTGTGTCACTGTATTTATGTAGGCAAAATACACACGAGTACACACACGTATGTGAGTTATCGCTTAGTTTTGTAAATATAACCACGTGCAAACATAAGATAAAATCTACATGCAGGATTAAAATTCAGTAAAGTTTGTTTGTATCTTGTATATGCTATATATGTAAATGTAATTAAAACATATATGCACTTTGAGATAATTTTGCTCCGGTAAAGTTATCGCAATATTTTGATTAAAAGTGCATTGGTGCAAATAACGAACGACTTTACACGTTTTTGTTTACAATAGCTGTGTATTTATAAGTGATATGCACGAAAGGGCAAATTGTTTTGAGTAAACGGTGCACCGTACTTGTGCCATGTAAAATGTAAATGAGTATAATAAAATATTCTAAGTGAATTTCAATTATTTTCTGGAATAATATGTCATTAACTAATGAGTGTAGGTGATAATGCGTATGCTAAATGTGCAAGCGATTGCTTGTAGCTATAAATTAGTGGTATATGAAATTCAGAAGAAAGGCAATAATAATAGAAAGCGTGCGCTTTACGCCACATTTTTATATTTCTTGCAGCATTTCGCACATGCTCTAAGAATTTTGCTATTCGCATTGTTTAATTAATTAAATTCTACGTTCTAGTAGTTAGAATATATTTATATTTTTTATTGGCTGTGGAGTTTTGCGTGAGGCATACGTATATTACATATTTGTAATAAAAAAAAGCATTATATTAACTTGACACTAATATGCAACGTCATAATCTTACGAACGCATTTTTTTTCTAATAAATTGTACGACTTATATAGCATTACATCGTCCACATAAGTATAAGTGCCTATATTGAAGCACGCTTAATAAATGGTATTGTTACCAAACTAATTAATTATGAAAATAAGCCATTTGACTTGTCGAACATTTTCGCTACGGTTGGTTGATACAGCATGTGCGATATGTATGCGTAATTCCAACCACAATTTACATACAACATTTTATTTCGTGAAACTTTATTATTTCTGTATTTAGTTGGGACTGCATCACGCGAGATCTGCTCCTTACTAGGTTATAAATATTAACTAGCGATTATGTTAGAGATTAAATATGTTAAAAAATTAGATTACTCTATTATGAAGAGTCGCATAACCGTTATCTTGTACAGAGAAAGGACAGTGGACAGGAAAGTAAATCACTGTGTTGAGAATAAGTTGGCGTGAAAAATACATTGCGTACAACAATTTGTTGTAGTGTAAGAAAAAAAGTATATAAAATACATATGTTTGCAGCATGTATAGTAAAACGTTGCCGATACTATATAATAGTGAAATATTAATGCTAGAATCCGCTTCGGTTTTGTTGACTTCAGCACATACAATTGGCAAATGTTTATCTTATGATAATAAAAAATAGATTTCTGAGCAGAAAATTCGATGAAGATAGTTGGTATAACAGTGCTACACACGCCAAACAGCCATGGGCTGCCTACTGCATGGTAATAAGCTCAAAATTGAAAATTTGCAAGCAGAGCACGTATCTTTGGGATTGCCTCCACACAGCTGATTAAGCCAAATAATGTGTTTCGGTTAATTTGCTCAAATTAGGGATAATGTAAGCATAGACTCACATATTGAAGCACAATGAGACGATTTAGATATGACTTTACTATTTATATACTTAAAATGTACAATTTGGATATTTTATGATAATAATGAGTGTGTTTGTACTTAACATATGGTAGTGGAGATTGTTTGAATGTGAGTTAGACCAACAGCTTCATGTGATTGTGCAAACCAATCTGACTAGCAGTGCATAGAGTTTTAGTATTCAACTCAAAGTAAATCGATTTTTTTTCTTTCAGCTTTTGAAGTTATAACTAGACATCCAACACACCAGCATCGCCTGTCGCCGCCAAATGCACTCACTTCAACCGCACACCATCTCCAACAACATCACTTAGACTCAGTAACGCTAGCTGGCCGTCTGACAGCCTCCTCACTTGCGTCATCCACATCTCCCGTGCTCGCATCATTATCGCAGCACGAGCTGTCCAATGTCATCGTGGATAGCTTCGAAGGTGTAGGTGGTACAGGTGGTGGCGGCGGAGGTGAACCACAATTTGAGAATACCACCGAGCGTGAGGTGATTGCGGCCGTCGGCACGACCGCACGCTTGCACTGTCGAGTGCGAAATTTAGGAGATCGGGCTGTCTCATGGATACGTAAGCGTGACCTGCATATTCTTACCATCGGCATTATGACCTACACGAACGATCAGCGATTTCTGGCGCGTCACACCGACAACTCAGACGAATGGGTGTTAAAGGTGGTGTCGGTGCAGCCTCGCGATGCTGGCGTTTACGAGTGTCAGGTGTCGACAGAGCCAAAAATCAGTCAGGCGTACAAGCTGATGGTTGTGAGTGAGTATCGCTAATATGTACATATAAATATGCACAGCAATAACAATTAATAGCAATTTTATGTTAGCTTCATAGCGGATTTGTTATACTCAACATTTAATATTTATTGATCTGTTAAGAAATAGTTTTGTCGTAGGCCGGAAACTCCGCCAATATTACGTACGAACATAATAGATTAGGCTCACATACAACTAATCGTATTTTTGTTTTCAATAAAATCAAGTAATAATTTGTTAAAAGCAATTCTAAACCAGAATTCTGCAAACTGGTTTTAAATGTAATTTTCTCAACACTTGCTCATATTTTACACTCGGTAATGTATTCGAATTTGTAATAGCACCTATCCCAATTTACAATACAACATTGCAGCAACAACCATTCATTTCGACCATTTTCGTTGGAAAAGATACGAAGAAAACACTGAATAAAACGCCATGGATCCCACTCAATCAGTGCTCATTTACGGCCTAACATTTGACTAATCGCAAACTACACTTTCTCATTTCTTGTTTCTCCTTTTCAATGGGCTTTGCCTCACCGCCGCTGCTTGGTATTCCATTTTGCATTTTTGCCAATTAACGCTGATTACGGCAATGAAATGCAATGGCAATGTAAACGCCGCGATGTGGCTGCCGATATCAATACCAAACACAACGCATAATCATGAAACCAATGACTCTGCCCCACCAACATCAACGCCGCATACATTCACATTAAATAAATCCACCGAATGCGCTGCTGTAACCTTGTTCGCTGTAATATTTGTTCGTTTGGCTGGCTGGCTGCTGACGTTAATGACGGGCCTTTACGATTGCAGCATCGAAAGCGCAAATTCTATCGAATCGCGAGCTTTACATACAAAGCGGTAGCGACATCAATCTGACGTGCATCGCACCGCAAGCGCCCGGGCCGTACACGCATATGATGTGGTACAAGGACAGCGAATTAATTAACGACTCAACGCGCGGTGGCATTCGCGTCGTATCGGAGCAGCAAATGAAGACGAGCAATTTGGTGATATCGCGGGTGCTCCACCGGGACTCGGGGAATTACACATGTGCGGCAGATAATTCAAGTAAGTAACGTCCATTGCGCAACTCTCCCCACACGCTTGTCACTTGCCGCTCGTCGTATTTTACTTGCATTCTACCTGCTTTACTGTGCGCCCGCTACACGCAAATGCGTGCACGCGTATGTAAACACATTCGATTGGCTGCGCGACGCGCACATGAGCGATTCGTGTGTGGACGCAGTGGCTCATTATGCCAGTATTATCGCACTTGGAATTTTTATTAACAAGAACTACGCTGTGTCAAGCAGGTGTAGGGAGTATTTAGGTTGCTTTTCATACAATTTCGTTTGCAGTAGTACATTGATATGTTTGATTACCACTTGCAGATTCTGATAGTGTGTTAGTGCATATCATCAAGAGTGAGCAGCATGCGGCCATGCAACATGAGCTTGCTACGCGCATGCAGACGCCGCGACTGATGCTGGTATTACTGGCATTTTTCTATGTGAGTTGAGTGAGTTTCGACATATTTATGTAAGCACGCACGTTTCCATGTTCGATTCCATTTACAGGGACGAGAACGTCGCAAAAATATTTTCTATATTTATGAATACTTTTTATTTCATTGCACAGTTATTTGTGTTACATACATATGTATGTGTTTGTGTATGCAGTTGACTTTCTAGTTGGCTGATTCTTATTGTTAACCATTCTGCTCTACAATTCACAGTTATTCGAGCGTGCAATTAAATGAAAGGGGTGCAGATGCGCTATGAATTACTGTAATTTAAATTTAAGGATTAGCAACAAAAACAATAAGATACTTGAAACTATTGAATAAGCAGCAGAAAATAATACTACTAAATAAGTTTTATAGTTGCAACAGCTTAGCTGTTCAAAGCGCATTTGCAATTGAGCGGTCACAAAGGAAGCATGCATGACGGTAAGACGCCAAGAAAATGTGTCAATAATATTGTAACTAAAGTTGAATTCTGTGATTTGTCTTGAACTAATTATTGTTTATATTGTCTGTAATAGTTACTACACATTCCGCTCGACCCGCTTGCGCCAGCACAAGTGCAGAAACCAAAGAAACCATGACAACGAATGTGCGTTGAATTATTCGGAGGGGAGGAGGCCGCTGCTGCAGCTCAATTTTCTCACATTTGTGTGCAACAGAGACTTAATAAAGATTAGTTGTTCTTATAGCTGTCTGATAGCTGTAACTAAATATCATGCTTTACTTGCTGTTTATTCATGTTTTTCGTTTATTTGGTATTTGCGTTTCTTAGCTTTAATGTGATGTTTGGTATGTATTCTGAGGCATTATATTTCGCTTGTAAAAGTAGTTAATTATACATTATTTGTAAGTATTTTTGTACTTAATAATAGCGGATAAGTTAAGGGTTTTAAGTGAATGTGTATGTGTGTAAAGCTGATGAAATTTAGAGCAAATCAAAAATGTAACTCAATAATTCAATGTGTATATATAAAAAAAATTTAAAACAATAAATATTATTATGAAATAAAACGATTAAATGTCTTTGATAACTGCAATGGAAGCGTAAGTAAGCAGATATTATGTATATACCGTATGTACGATGTGTGAATTGCCAACGCAGCTTTTTTTTTATTATATTATTGGGTTGGCAACTAAGTAATTGTGGATTTTTTTTTTAATCAAAGACAAACCTAAAAATTCAACTGAAGCCACCTATAAGTGAAATCCGCAATTACTTAGTTGCCAACCCAATATATTAGCTTTGGCATATATAATATTATCCCTATTTAAAAAGAAATATATGTATATATTATATTTGGAACATATTGTTGCTTACGCACTTGATTCATAGAAAAAAAAAACACTTTTTTATTCACACAAAATACCGTTCAATGGATTTTTCGAATAATTTTTTTTGCGTCCAAAAATAGTTCATTCCCTTTAGTTATTATGGCGTAACAAGAGCCTTGATTCCGCAAAATAAAGTAAAATGATGAAGAAAATTTAATAGCTTAAATATGTCCAAGGTGAGCTACAGTTGGAACAGAAATCTTCACTAAATTACACACATAAGGAAATATATATATACGTAACAAGTATATAAATATGTAAGATGATGCCGTTTAACGTTTTGTTTTTAGTTTTAGAGCACAGTTTGAATCAGTGCAGATGTCACCATGAAGCTGGATTTTTTTATACTTTTCATTCAAACTCAACTCTCAATACGAGCTCAATTTTAATTTATTTCAAAATAAAATTCATTTACTTAAATTAAATTAAAATTTCGTCTGTAACTTATCTTAAACGCTTTGGTATTATACATTTTATTCACCCCAATAATTTGAAAGAAAAACGTTATAAGCTGTTAATGCATATACATATATATTTGCGTATATATTTAGCTACATAAATATCTGCATGTAATTGCACCACCCCCAGCGCCTTTGCGCCATACATTCACACACATGCACAACCGCTTTTGATATTTTTCTCAAATGCCTTGTGGCCTGGGTCGCTTTTTGTCACTCTCTCGCCGCTCGGTGTGGTGAATTGCCATTCCTCGCCTGACGCCTACTTAACTGTAATAACAATAATTTTGTGAACCATAATTTTAATTGACTGTGATTGTGAGCTGCGAGCAGGAAAAGCTGAGCAGAGCTGACGTCAACGAGAAAACGACAGAAGAAGAAAGACTCTCGGAGTCTACGGGCGATGCCTGCGGGCGACGACAGCGTATTTCTTCGAGCCAGCAGCAACGAATGGAATTCAAATATTCGCCATTATATAGGCAGGACAAACACGCGAGCTTTGTAGAGCTTATTTAAATGAAGTCACCCATATTCAAAGTCATTGAAGTCACTTGACATCATTGTCAACACTGCAAAGCATACATACTAGTGTTTTTAATTATTGTAAATTATTTTTAAGGAAAATAAAGACAATTTATTATCAACGAACGGGAAAGATGCACATTACAGTGTAACGGAAGGAGACAAGAGCTTCGAGCAGGGAACGCCATAAAACAGCGGATGCGAAAATACGCCGGCATGGGCTTAATGTAAATAGCCGTAAATGAATGTGATGTGGGATAAGTGAGTACTATTGGTGGGCTTTGGGAAGGTAGTTGCGAAAAACCTCGAAACGCAATTCATTCGCAAAATTCCTCTTGTTTGAGAGTAACTAGTGGATGTCTATGAATGCATAATGACAAACGCGTTACAGCACCTGGTATAGCTCTCTTATATACATTTTTCTACAGAATAGCTGTCTGTGAAACTCCATATCTGATAAACAAGTTGGACAATTATGCCTCTAATATCAGTTATTTTGGTAATAAAAGAAGGCTCAGCAATTTTACAGTACTCATATAAAATGTTATGGGTTAAATCGAGCGCATAATGACGTCATTGATACGAAAAAGCAGATGGATGCGCCGTGGCGAATCATTGGCATCGTACGCCATTGATATCATACTAATTATCAGACTCTACCACTCTGCCACCAAATTCCCAGTGGCAAAAATCTCAACCAAAAATTTTCATAACGAACTCGCTAATTTAATTACACAACCGTTGCAAGTTGATGAGTTGACAAACACGCTGCCGCACAAAGCCACAAAAATAACACATGCATACGATTTGCCAAACAATTCAATCAAAATTCTACCTGCAAATTTGTGGCACAAAATTATCTATATAGCATATATGTAATTGATTGATATTTCGTTGGAGACCTAATTAATTTGTTCGATTTTGGCTTACTCCTTTGGTCCAGAGCAACAAATTTATGGATTGCATAGGCGGAAATTATTTAATAAAAGCTAGTGATAATCAGCATTTTATATAATTACACTCTCAACAAATCTGAAGAAATATTTGTGACTGTTATGCTAAGAGGTTTATGGGGATATCTGAGGTGTCCTGATTACAAATTCAAGTTCAAAAATTTTCCATCACGTATAGATTTTTTGTTTTCGTATAATTTATACTGTAAGTTATTTTAAAAATAACGGGTTTTATTTACTATAACGGATCGAAAATACATTTATACTAAATCATTTGTAGGCAAGTTTTTCGTAAATGCTGACTTTTGCTCATACTGCTGATCGCTTTCCCTCATAAGGAACCAGCATTTATCTTACATCATTCCCGGATTCCATTTGCCTTGCTATAGTTGCTCCATTGTTAGCATGTCCTGATGCAACGTTTCCACTAGCTCATTGGAACAGGTTTGACAACACACGTGAGGAGCCAACAACCGATCTTGATTTACTTTCGTCATTTTAGTAATTGTCCGCTTCTGGGATTTAGCGATAAACTGGCCACATATATAAGAAAAACTGTCCGCGGGTTTAAGGCAACCACGTTACCATGTACCTTAGACATTTTGATTAAATTCACGTAAAAAGCTCAAAACTAAACTGCTCTTTTGCGAACCGTAATTACAACTGACTCATCTCAGGGACGGCACCTAGGCTAGAACAAGCCTTAGCAGTTCGATTTAAATGTGAATTAGGTTTTATTAATTAAAAATACCTATTGCTTCTTATTCTTATTTGCTTGGGTGTTGGACTACTGGTTGTGGTTTGGCATCTACAGCCCTTGACTACAACACTTCTATTGTTAGGGAACGTTTACCATAATTTTCTATTTTAACAAGCGGAAATCAGCAAGAAACAGCCTCTAACATCACAGACGCAAAATGACTGTAAACTAGTGTTATTTATCTGTTCGCCATACTATTACTATGAAAGTTGGTGTTGTTGATGCGTTCACTTCCTAATTGACGCATTGTACATTCACAACATCATTGCGTATAACACATCATGCTTTCACCAAATTAGACACACATTCAACTAATTTGTAAGTAAAGCAGCTGGTGAAACTGTTGAAAGCAAATATTTCTTGCATTCTTACTTCACCTTTGTGCATTATTAGCAATGCAAAAATTTACAAAATTTAGATCCAGCTGCCTTCTGTTATATGCTTTTATGTTTTGCGCTTAGTGAATAAAGTGATGCCATGGGAATGCAGCTAAGAATAAGTTATGTAAATAAAATATTAAGAATGAAAAATAGCTCTCCTCTAAGGTTTTACTATTTACTGTGGGTGGCTTATTGATTGTCGATATGTAAGTATGAAATAACTTAAAAAACTGTTTATATTTGAGTTGATTTAATTTATTTCTTTACAATTTATGTAGACTATTTCTTCGTTGCAACAACTGCCTTGAACTTGTCAACAGTCCGAGCATTATTGTGCACACACTGCTTTATAAAGCACCCAAAAAGAGAGGGTGAAACGTGTGAAATTTGTAGATCTGGTTTTTGCAGAATTTCAGTAATTTTTGTTGCAGCTATCGAAAATTTTAATTTGCATTATGTCAGGACTGACTGAGACCAGCTCCATCGATGTTTTATTTTTTTTGATCGTTCTGCTTTGTTTGCGTAAATATTATTCAAGGGTGGTTTAAAACGCCCACCGAATCTGAACAAAAAGTGACTTTGAAATGTGGCACCGCGAAAATATCGGTCAAACTATGAGATTTCTGAATGGAATTCAGATGACATCTTTTCCTGGTAATAATTTGTACTGGTGACAAAAATGTATAAAATCGAGTCAATACTCAGGCATCGAATTACTGAGGACATACTTTAGCATACCTTTACAGTATGATAGTGAGTGAAATAGAATGATAACCGCGTTCACCACTCATATAACGGTTTTGTTTGTATTTTAGCAGCGATATCTCACTAATGCAATACATCAGAAGCATTCAATTTTACACCTGAAATGGTACGGAAGAGCTGTGCTCAGATTTTAGAAGTTGAAGAGCGAGCATGCTATCCCTATCTTTCCGTTTAAAACCTATATCTCACGAACTGCTTGGCTAATTTCCATTAAATTTAGTACCGAACATAACTATAAATTTTCAAATTTATAAGATCGCTTCAAGGTTTTCGAATAAATGAGATTACTTTCTAAGGTAAACGTGCAAGAACAGTTCCAATTTCAGTAAGTTTTCTGCAAAAAAGTAAATATAGCAGCAATTTTGAGAGAGGTAAACAGATACTTTTTAATTAGCGTATTTGCAGCGCGTTAAGTCTACCGCATA